TGGGGTGTTTATTCCTTGCTTTTGCTTTCTGCTTTCCGTCGCACTTTCTCTGTCTCTTCACCTGGTAGACAAAAGGAATCATAATAATAGGAACCTTATAATTTTGCCCCTTTTCTTCTTTTCTCTTTTGGCAGATGGCGGACAACACCAAAGTGGACTAATGATTTATTACGGGAACAGGAATCTTATCTTCTGCCTGGTTTTCCACTAGTGCTCGTGGTATTCGCAAGAGATGGGATCTCTGTGTCTGTCCTCCATCACATGTTCTCCATGGTTGTTATCATGATCGAGAGAGAGAGCTCGATCCGCTGTCACCAAGAACATCCCTGGAGATCTTCAGCTTCTTGGTGGCGCCATTGTACAGCCCCTCTAAAGTACAAGGCAACATCCTCACAATGGCCGCTACTTTCCTCGGCCCATTTCCAGGTCTCGAGTCCTCGAATCTGAAACTCAAAACCGTTGGATCTTCTGTTGATGTAAACTCTCTGCGTTGTTGTCGTGATCGAGAGAGAGAGAACTCAATCAAAAGTGAAAACCCAAAGAATTAATGAGAGCCTTGTTACAAATGACAATGGAGACCGACGAGACCATAAAGAGGGTCAACGCTCCCACTGTCCCCAGTTGAAACCTCGCACCTTCCCCCACCTTTTTTTTTTTTACCTCCGACCCAACTTCAAGTTGTCTGAGATCAACGAACTGCCATATTGCGTCGACGTCGAAGCCGTGGATGAGGAAGAGGTTGGGCTTAGAAGGGTTCGATGATTACGGGACCCAGCAGTGCATGGTGGTGTAGCCGTCTTTTGAGGTCGGTGATTGCAGACCAGAGGTCGGCTTGGGCGAAGATGAACTGGTGGCCTGAGTTTTTTGGACTGGGTGATGCTGTCCCAAATCCCCCACTCCCTTGGTGTCGAGGGTAGATCCGTACTTTGGACGATCAGCTCCATAATAGTGATCGGAAAGGGGGTAGATTGGCTTAAGCGACGAGATTGAAGATGATTGGGTCAGATAATGGCGCCCAACGCACTTCGACTCGGCTTGCATCGCGCCTTCAGCTATAAGTTCAAAGTGAGGCCAAAGAGAGAGAAGACAGAGAAACATGTGCCTTTTTTTTTATTTCTTTTTGTTTTAGTTTCTGTAGATTCACGGTGGTGAGATGAAAAAATGAAAGAGAACTGAAGAAGCTTTTCGTGTCGTTTCCCACAGACGGCCCAAAATGTTGATGCACAAAACCGAAGGTCTTGGAACAACGTAAATCCGACCGTGAATCTGCAAGAAATGTAAAGAACACAAGATGTATCGTGGTTCACCCCAAGGTTTGGGATACGTCCACATTGATATTGTATTTCTGAGGGAGAGAGAGAGAGCCTCTGTAATGAATCTGAGAGGCTCTGAGATTGAGAGCTTGAGGGGGTGAGAAGCCTTAGGAATTGGCCTCCTCTAATTGTGAGGGTGAGGGATCCTTTTATAGAATAAGGACTCCTCACTTATTACATATTTGCCCCTTCCTTTATCACATAATTACATGTACGTCCCCCGAGTATTTGTACGAGATCTAAATACGAGGCCCTAAATATGGTATAAACACCATTGATTGTTTTGATCGAATGAATCCAGATATTTTGGCAAGGTTCCTCCAACTAGGCTTGCTGCAATGCAATATTCATCCAAACTAACTCCTTTATGAATCCTTATATATGGTGTAACCTCCGGCATCACCACTGATATCTCCAACATCACATCTTATAATCCTTATACTGGTGAAGATAAGGCCTATATCGGCGATGGTAAAGGTTTATCTATCCACCATGTTAGCTGTTCTTCATTAAGTACACATAAAACTTCATTTAAGTTGAACGATGTTTTACATGTTCCTCCAGTGAAGCATAATTTGTTATCTGCCTATCAATTTCTCAAAGACAATTATTGTTCTTTGACTCTAAATCCAAATGGATCCATTGTCAATGATCATTTTACTGGAAGAAGCTTTTGTGGGGACCAGTTAGAAATGGTTTTTATCCATTGCAAGGTACTCCTACACTCAAACCACAATCTATGTCAACTTATGTTGTTGTTAGTAATAAAGCTTTTGTCAAAGTATGGCATAGTAGGCTAGTGCATCCGGATGGATTGTTTCTCCTCTATTTTTAGAAGGATTGTTTTTGCAAATAAATTTGCAATGCAAGGCAAGCATTATGTGGACTTTTTTAACTCTAACTATGCCATTGCAAAGAATCACAAGCTGGCTTTTCAACTTTCTAGCTCTTCTTCTGCTATGAGTTTATATTTAGTACATTGTGATATGTGGAGCTCAGTTGCTGCTTTTTTTGTATGTGGCTACAAGTATTACTTGTTAATTGTTGATGATTTTAGCAAATACACATAGTTATTTCCTCTCAAGGCCAAATCTGATGTGTATTCTACTTTTGTTGCATTCGAAACATATGTAGAAAATTATCATGGAAATAAAATAAAGTGTTTAAGATTAGATTCAGGGAGTGAATTTATAAGCAAATCATTCACTTAATTTCTTAATTCTCACGGCATTTCACACAAACTCAGTTGTCCTTACACACCTGAGCAAAATGACTGTGCTGAAAGAAAGCACATACATTTAGTTGAAACTACAAGAACATTGTTAGTAGCATCTAATGTTCCACATTTGTACTGGGTTGAGGCCTTTCCACTACCATCTATCTCATCAATCGGTTGCTAATTTCTGGTTTGGTTCATTCACCATAGGAACTCATATTTCATTCCTCACCCGATTACTCCAAACTTAAAATATTTGGTTGCGGCTACTTTCCATGGTTAAAACCATATATTTAATCCAAATTAGAAGGTAAAAGCAAGAGATGTGTCTTAAGCTATAGTTTACAGCACAAAGGCTATAGATGCCTTGATCCAGAGACACTAAGAATATATATTTCCAGACGTGTAGTTTAATGAATCTACTTTCCCATTTCTTTCATCTATATCTACTACTACTACAACTTCATCATCACAACTTGAGTCTTCTCAAATTGATATGGAATTCTCAGCATTACACAAAGCTTCATCTCAATCTACAAATCATAGTTTCTCTTCTCCCAATTCTAATCAAGTGCATTCTTCAACTACATCACAATTATAGTTCTTCCTCTCTCAGAACAAAGTATGCATGATCCATCCTCATCATCTCCTATTGCTTCAGAACATGTTGTCTCAAATCATGTTGCCTCAAGATATGTTGTTAACACATATCCAATGATCACAAGATCCAAGGCAGGTATTTTCAAACCTAAGGCCTTCTCTGCAACAAAACATCATTTACCATCCTTAGTTGATTTTGTTCCATCAACTCATTAGAGATTTGCTATGCAAAAAGAATTTAATGCCTTGCAAGACAAAGCTGGGCTAGTAACTAAAGGTTTCGATCAACATGAAGACATTGATTACCAAGAAACCTTCAGTCTAGTGGCTAAACCAGTAACCATTAGGATCTTGTTAACTTTAACTATTCAATTTGATTGATTTCTAAATCAATTAGATATCAGTGATGCCTTTCTTCATGGAGATTTGAAAGAGGATGTTTGTATGCAACAACCACCTAGGTTCATTAATTCTGACTTTCTTCATCATGTTTGCAAGTTAAGGAAGTCTTTGTATAAGTTAAAACAAGCTCTGCATAACTTTGGTTTCAAACAATCGTCTTATGATGCTTCTCTATTTGCACTCAAAGCTCTCGTTCTTGTCATTGTATTGGTGTATGTGGATGAAATCGTAGTTACAGGACCAAATGCTTCTATTTTTCAAAAATTCATCCACAAGCTCATCCATATGTTTCCAGTTAAAGACTTAGGACCACTACATTATTTCTTAGGCTTAGAAGTCAAAGCAAGTACTTGATTGATCTTCTTACCAAAACAAATATGCTAGGTGCAAAACCCTGCACTACACCTCTTGGCACAACTAAACTTAACCACAGTAGTCCATTCTTGTCCAATCCTGCTAAAGACGAGTTAATTGTTGGAGACCTTGAATACCTCACTTAGACAAGACTTGATCTTTCATTTGTAGTAAATTAGGTATGCTAATTTATGCATTCTCATAGAGAACAACACATACAGATAGCCAAAAGAGTTCTCAAGCTTCTTAAAGGCACAATTACTCATGGATCATGGTTCAAAAAGGGTTATCTTCATCTCTCTGCATATTCATATGCATATTAGGTTGGTTATACCTTTGATAGAAGATCTACATGTGGTTTTTGCATCTTTTGGGGTAATAAACTCATCAGTTGGAGTGCTAAGAAGCAACCAACAGTTGCTAGATCATCTAAAGAGGCAAAGTACAAATCCTTAGCACACACAGCTGCTGAAATCCCTTGGGTGTGCAAAGTTTTCTGTGATTTTGGCTTCCCATTGTCCAAAATTCCCACTCTTTGGTGTGACAATCTATCAGCCATTTCTCTTACTTCAAATCCTGTTTGTCATGCCAGGACAAAGCATGTTGAAATAGATTACCATTACCTTCGAGAATTGGTCCTAGCTAATCTTATCAAGGTTCGTTATGTTTGCAACCAAGATCAATTGGCTGATATTCATACCAAGTCTTTGTCAAAGCATTGGTTCATATTTCTCCAATCCAAGCTTCCACTTGACTTTCTGTAAAGAGAAGAAATGTATCTTATCCTACCAAGTGTATATCAAGCAGGTGAAATGGCATCTACCTGATCGATGTCTAGCGTCTACTAGCGAATCTAGCCTCTAATAGAAACATGTGTACCTACAATAAGCCTATGTTTGTAGCTAGTTATACGATATGTATGATGACTATGTGGTGAAAATAAATCACCAATAGCCTCAAGATATTACTTAAGTTTAACTAGAAATTAGTCTCCTAAAAGACCATCAATAATAATAATAATAATATGCATCAACATATAATAATTTAAAATATTTAATTTTAAGGGATCCACTCACAGGTAAGGAAAGCGTCCTTCCTCGTTAGACTCATTGCCTGAATTTTTTTTAACCTCTATTAAGCCTGTGAATTAATTTTAAAGCTGAAAATAAGCTTTAAAGACATTCTATGGAAAATCGTCCAAAACTACTATTTAGACATCAAATTTGTACAAACGAAGGGCACCTCGTGATTGAGAAGCTATTGTCCACGCGTTACCGCGATGGTGTCACGCACCGGGAAGACACGCCGCCATGGGGTCGCCGTCACCGTTGCCATGCACCCTCGGTTATCGATGAATGTGACTGAAGAAAACATAATATACCTACTAGGAGGGAATATGACATCAAATCTAACGTTGTCATTGTTGTCACCTTTAAGTTCAACGTAGACCGCCGGCGTCATCGCTGGAAACTGCAGAAATTACAAATTACGGTTAGGCCGGTTTTGGAGCCCGAATTCGACGGGTTTTTAGTCCAAACTCAACCAAAATCATCCCAAGAGACTAGAAAAATCACCTAAACACATATTAGGGCTAGTAGGGGTTGAATCCACCTCGGAATCGCTCATCAGGTTTCCTTTTTGGATTCTGGAAACAAAAATCGAGAGCATGCATGTTAGTTTCATTGAGTTTGCAGCTCAAAACTCACCCAAACCAATATTGGCAATTACCTAGGATAGGTTCTAGCTGGACTCGAGCATCAAAAACTGGCATATGCACAAAGAGAAATGTAGATAGGGTTAAAACCATCTTTTTGAGTTATATTTTCACATTAATCACCTCCAAGAAAGATAAAAACATTAACATTCAAATCTCTTACAAGAAACCTCACCTGAGTTCGAGTTTCAGAGCATAAAGCTCTCGGCTTTAGTGGCAAAGCACAAGATGGTGCTTCGATGATGCATGCAAGACTATATTCGAACTCCCCAGGTCTTAAGGATTCCATATATAGGGGTTTCAGCTTTGATTCGATAGAGAAATAAAGTGAGGGTGAGGGTTCTCTCTCTCGGTGCTATAAAGAGAGAATGAGAGGAAGAGAAAAATAGAGTTGCAAAGAGGAAGAGAGAATAGAGAGAGAAAGCAGAATCAGGAGTAAGGGAGAAGGGAACCGAGAGTGGGTATAACCACACTTTAAAATTATTTAAAATGAAATTACGAATTTGCCCGTCCCAAGTTATAAATTTTACAAATAGGCCCTCAAAGTTTCGATTCAAATTTCATTTTCGATTTCACATTCACATACGTGAATATAACTAGGAAAACCTAAGAAGGTATAAAAAAAAATTAGATTTCGAGTCATGGCTCAAAAATTACTCAAGAACATACTCAAGGGTAAAATTGTCATTCACATAGTTCAAGAATAAAATACATTATTTTAAGGTACGGGTTGAAACATTTTGGCCAGTTGAATAATATAGAATTTGGTCCCCTTGGTAAAGTTGCTACTAAGGCAGGCTAACTACACATCTAAATTAGATGCATAAGGTATTTTATTTGAGCTTCCATACTAGTCGAAGTTAAAAATGAGATACAACCTTGATGTGATGCATATTGAGAAAATTTGAGTGATACATTGGTGGGGTCAATTCTAGAAATTAAAGGAAAATCGATGGACACGGTCAAAGCTCGCCTCGATTTGAAACGAATGACATAAGTAGACCCTTGTGGCTGAAGAAACGTAGTGACAAAATGAGAAAGGGCCATTCATCTGTTACAATTAAACCGGCGGGGAAGAAGGAGTTTTTAAAGTTTCATTCTTGTATAAAGTTTCCATAAGGGTATGCTTCCAATATCTCCCATTGTGTGATCCATAACCCTAAACCCTAAGCCCTAAATAATAAAATAAATTAGGTTAGTTTTGGGAGACGAAAATCGTGTTTCGCCGCCTAAATGATCTTTGCGTGACAAAATTTAATATATTTGTCCATTGGATGTTTACGCGATGAATTTTCAACTTTCGTTACTTAAACTTCCCCTAATTATTATTTTCAAAATTTACGATATTGCGTCGTGCTAGGCTATTACCAACGAAGTTTTATTCAGCATAGTAATCACAAAAAACTGGCCACATATATCAATTTTATTTTTTTTAAGTTTGTAAATATTATGGAACTATTAGATGATATTCAAAGTACATAAGTGATATAATGTGATTTACATTTTGGAAAGTCAATTTGAAAATCTGAGCCGTTAAATAGTTAGAGCTCTTCTTCAAGATCATCCTTGAGAAAAATTACTTCATTCTAAAATGAATAAGTCATTGTTTAGAAGTTCAAAGAAAGAATGGCTGAGAATCATTTAACATCTTTTCGCGACGAAGCGCTATTATTTGTTGCTCGAGACAACCTTTAGCGACGAAGCATTATAATTCATTGCACAAGACAACTTTGATCGACGAAGTATATTAGGAATTTGTCGTGTAAAATACTATGAATTTGTATTTCTTAATTAGGGTATTGCTCGCGCTGTGATATTACCAACGATATTTTATTATACATACTAATGACCATACTTTGATCCTGAGATTACTTAATCATACACCTCGTACATTAAGAGGTACCTTTGAAGTTTGCAAATGTTACAGCCCTATTAGATGATGTTCAAAGTATATAAGTGATATAATGTGATCGACATTTGAAAAGTAGATTTTAAAATAAGGAAAACTAATGAAAATGGTTTGAAAACTTTGAGTTTTAATGATAAAGACAAAATAAAGAGTAAAGTGAATAATACCATAATTGACCTTTTAGTGTAAAAATGTGGTTTTTCGTTAAAGTGAACAGTACTAGGAGTTTTTCGTTAAAGTTCCCTTTAAAATATGAGGCGCTCAAGTCCTCCACTACTTTGGTGACCCATCCATAGCTAAGCGCTTGTCGGACTCATCGTCGACGTCATGTAGCTGACCAGCCATTTGACACTCCCGCAACATCAACAGTTGAGGAAGATAGATCGCAAACAGGTGGTAAGCAAATTTAGTGTTTAACATAAGAGATCTCATGCCAACAAGATAAATAGGTCGCAAACGAAACTTCTCCACTACTCGAGTTTGAAGCCCTTCTCTTATAGGTTGGAGAAGTGAGAAGAGGTAAAAGTATATTATTTTAAACTTTCAATATATAGTGAATTTTATTAAAATTATTTTATTATTTTTTAACATAATCAAATAGTCTTAATTATTTTTTAATATATATATATACTCAAACCTATTGAGTCGGTCTGGTAAGCTTGAGCTTTGGTTAAGTCAATAACAACATGCTATGTAAATAATATACAAATAATTGTCAAAGAACTAAAAATAATACGTGAAACCAAACACTCCCCCCGATTCCCTCCCAAAATCAATACAATAATCCACCAACTTAATAAAAAATAAAATTATGGTGTGAGGAAAAAAAAATTTTAATTAAAAAAAAAACCAAATTCGACAAAAAAAACATAAAAATAAACCAACTAGAACACATTATTTTGTTGGGGATGGGAACAATTTAATTTTTATTTTTGGTCGAAGAAATCTTATTTAAAGTAAAAACTAAAATTAAAATGAAATGAAATTAAGGAAGGTATGAAACACGCTTGTGTTCCAACTCCAAAATATTAAATTACACAAATTTATTCAAAGAGAAGATTTGCCTGCACCTTCACTGCAACTAGTTAATTAATTAATATTAAACTAAATAATTAACTGATTGATTAAGACTCAAAGCTTGAAAACTGTTATTTGACCATTCAGCTTTGGTTTACTCCCCCCCCACTATAAACCCAACCCTTCACACCCTTCCTTCCTTGTCACCCACTCAACACACAACTCTAAAAAACAACCTCAAAACCTTCTGCTCCAAGCCTCCCATCACAATGAGCTTTTCAGCTGTAACAACATCGGCCGTCGATCAGGGCGACGGAGCTTCAATCTCCGCCATCCATTCCGACATCATCACTGCTCACATCCTTACCCGCCTCGACGGCCAGACCTTGGCTGCCGCGGCCTGCGCTTCCTCCGAATTACGCGCCTTCTCCGCCGAAGAAAAACTCTGGCGGGACGTCAGCACCTCCACTTGGCCTTCCATCACCGATCCACGTGTCGATGACCTCATTTCCACTTTCCCTGCCGGTCACCGCTCATTCTTCTCCGACTCTTTCCCGCTCCTCGACCACTCCCCCTCCCAATACAATCCCAGATGTTCGTCTCCCACCGCGGAGTTAATCTCGGCCGTCGATATTTTTTACAAAGACCAGCTCATTTTCTCGAAAGTTGAAGAGTCCGAAACCGAGTCCGGGTGGTTCCTCTTCTCGCCCTTCCGAGTTGAATTACTTGACAGGAAAGAAACCGTCCCAACACCAATCCGACATGTCGGGGAAGACCAAAAGTCGTTGAAGAACTTGGAGGACAACTTGAGCCTGAGCTGGATAGTGATCGACCGGGCCCGGAAACGGGCGGCGAACTTGTCGAGCCGGAGGGCGGTGAAGGTGCAGCGGCACTGGCTAACGGGGGAGATACAGCTGCGCTTCGCGACGATTTTGGCGGGGGAGAAGAAGGGGGAGTATGTACAGTGTGGGATGGTGGTCACGTGCAAGGGAAGCGAAGGAGGGGAGCTGCACGTGAGAGAGGTGAGCATGCAGTTGGAGGGAATGGAGGGGAACCACTTGAACGGGAGGGAGAGTTTGGTAATTTTGCAGAGAGCGATCGAGGGAGGGATGAGGAGGACGGAGGTAAACGAGAAGGCGAGGTTCGATGAATACTTGGAGATGAAGAGAGAGAGGAGAGAGAGAAAGGAGAGGAGAGAGAAGGCCTTGGACATGATCTGCATTGCTACTGGGGTTACTATTTTCTTGGCGTTCTGGTCATTTGTCTTGTTCAGATAAACAATGATGAACCCGGTTTTACTTAATTTACAGTTAATTACACATTTTAATTAATTAATTCTTTAAACCAAAATATATAGAAAAGTTCATACAAAGAAGCAAAATGGATATTTGTAATTAATTTTTTATTACAAATCTTGGCTCTTTTGAGTGTGTTTATATATATGTTTTTGCGCGTGCTGCGTGTAAAAGAGGACATGTATCTGTTGAACTTAATTATATACTTCATTCAGAGATCAAGATCAACCCTGCATGATGAACTACAAACTAATATACACGCATGCATTTATACTAGTCACAATATTCATTAAATCATCATTTTGCATAAAATAGGGATGCACTTACTTGCTGTCGTAGACGAGATGTTTGAGATGAGATTTGGACCTTCCTTTCTCTTGGAAACGGAATGGAACTCTCACTCTCAATAGGGCGAGCATTCACATTATGAGAACCTTGTAACTTACCCGAGAAAAGGGATCAAAACCTGACTTAGAGGATGCAACTGCTCCACCTATCATGGTAGCAATTGCTGTCAGTTTTCTTCAAGTTTTGTAACTGTCTTCCACCATAATTTGTACAAGTAATATGGTTTTCTCACTTTATATTAAATGTGTACTTAATGTACATAACGTATACTATAACCATATTTCCTTTATTAAATGGTTTGGACTATTTCTCACACAAAAGTTCTTACATTCTCCCACACGAGAATGGCTGTAACCATTTACAACATTGTGTCCAACTACTAGTACGTGATCACTGAAATATGATTACAACAACAACAACAACAACAAAGCCTTTTCCCACTAAGTGGGGTCGGCTATATGAATCCTAGAACGCCATTGCGCTCGGTTTTGTGTCATCTCCTCCGTTAGATCCAAGTACTCAAGTCTTTTCCTAGGGTCTCTTTCAAAGTTTTCCTAGGTCTTCCTCTACCCCTTCGGCCCTGAACCTCTGTCCCGTAGTCACATTTTCGAACCGGAGCGTCAGTAGGCCTTCTTTGCACATGTCCAAACCACCGGAACCGATTTTCTCTCATATTTCCTTCAATTTTGGCTACTCCTACTTTACCTCAGATATCCTCATTCCCAATCTTATCCTTTCTTGTGTGCCCATACATCCCACGAAGCATCCTCATCTCTCCGCTACACCCATTTTGTGTACGTGTTGATGCTTCACCGCCCAACATTCTGTGCCATACAACATCGCTGGCCTTATTGCCGTCCTATAAAATTTTCCCTTGAGCTTCAGTGGCCTACGACGGTCACACACAACACGCCGGATGCACTCTTACACTTCATCCATCCAGCTTGTATTCTATGGTTGAGATCTCCATCTAATTCTCCGTTCTCTTGCAAGATAGATCCTAGGTAGCGAAAACGGTCACTTTTTGTGATCTTCGCTAGATTGCTCCGGTCATTAGTGTGGATAAGTATATAAATGGATAGAGATAGGAAAGCAAACACAAGATGTACGTGGTTCACCCAGATTGGCTACGTCCACGGAATAGAAGGAGTTCTCATTAATTGTGAAGGGTTTACACAAGTACATAGGTTCAAGCTCTCCTTTAGTGAGTACAAGTGAATGATTTAGTACAAATGACATTAGGAAATATTGTGGGAGAATGATCTCGTAATCACGAAACTTCTAAGTACCGGAGTGTGGTATCGTCTTGACTTGCCTTATCTGTCTCATAGGTAGATGTGGCATCTTCTCTGGAAGTACTCTTCCTCCATCCAGGGGTGGTATCTGTAACTGGTGGAGATGCACAAGGTAATGTATCAATTTCACTTGAAGCTTACTTGTAGTTTCAGGCTTGGTCAAGCGCGATACAAACCATGTAGTAGGAGTCCCCCAAGTCGCCGAGCTAGGGGATCTGCTGAAAGAGGTGACAGACAAGGTAAGCAATCAGAGCTCCGGCTGATTGTTCACATTCTCCCTATCTTGCAGGCAGCATGAAGGATAAAGAGAAGAAAAATGAGAAGAGATGATATGGGATACTTTTGCTTTTGAAGAAGTAACTTTCCACAGGCTTATTCTTGAACTGGGCTGGAGGGTTTTCTGGTTTCCTCCAGAGTATAAGGCCGACTGAAGAATTTGAGGGTCAAAACAAGTCCATCAAATCTAGAGTACGTTCGACCCTGCTGATATGGGATACTTTTTGCTTTTGACAGAGTAAGTGGATGTATCGGCACGTGTGCTGTTACGCTTGTCTCCACATGCTTCCTTGTATCCTTCTCACTTGCCCTATCTGTTCCTCAGGCAGATGCGGTATCTTCCCTGGAAGCATAAGATGTTGAAGATGAGTACTCGAGAGCAATGCCAGGTAAGTAATCAGGTAAGGGGTTCCAGGCAGTCAGTTCCTGGCTGGAAGCTTGATTCCAAGTGCTGACTGATTGCTCTCTTTCTCCTTGTCTTGCAGGTAAGAACAAGGCCAAAGGAAAAGACAGGGAAAAAAGCATGATATGGGATACTCTTGCTTTTAACCCTGATGATATGAGATATTCTTGCTCTAGTATAGCTTGTTTACAGAGGTATTATCGGGGGGAAAGAAAGCTGAATATTTCGAAAGGCTTCGTTGGGAGTGCCCTCTCAGATAAGAGGAAGGGTTGAGCATTTTTGCAGGTCTGCCTGTCCGTTGGGGATGGAGGTCGACATATATAGGAGTCTCCCTAACATCAAGTAATAATGCTATTCCTTTACCCTGCTTGGTCATAGCACGGTAGTGGGAGCTGCCAGCTTCACATGTTTTAACTCTGTCAGAGCACTTTGAAAAAGTGGTCTGTGGTATCTGGAAAGCTGATGTTGCGTGTGAAGATTACAGACAAGCTTTATCCAAGGAGATCCAGCTCTTGAAGTTGGGAAAGTGGTGCCTCTTCGGTTTTTGAACAAGCAATCCTGTCGGGGATCTGGCTCTCGAGATTCGGAGAACGATGCCTCTTCGATTTTTTGAGAAAGCAATCATGCTGGGGGTCTGGCTCTCGAGATTCGGAGAGCGGTGTCTCTTCGATTTTTGAGAAAGTAATCATGTTGGGAGTCTGGCTCTCGAGATTCGGAGGGCGGTGCCTCTTCGATTTTGGAGCAAGCAATCTTGTTGGGAGTGTTTTTCTCGAATGTGAGTAAAGGTTGGGCATGTTTGCTAGTCTACCTTGCCACGAAGCACAGAGGTTGACACACAGGGACTTTCCAATTATCCAGCAGTGGTACTGTTCCTTTACCCTCTCTTCGATTTTTGAGAAAGTAATCATGTTGGGAGTCTGGCTCTCGAGATTCGGAGGGCGGTGCCTCTTCGATTTTGGAGCAAGCAATCTTGTTGGGAGTGTTTTCTCGAATGTGAGTAAAGGTTGGGCATGTTTGCTAGTCTACCTTGCCACGAAGCACAGAGGTTGACACACAGGGACTTTCCAATTATCCAGCAGTGGTACTGTTCCTTTACCCTCTCTTCGATTTTTGAGAAAGTAATCATGTTGGGAGTCTGGCTCTCGAGATTCGGAGGGCGGTGCCTCTTCGATTTTGGAGCAAGCAATCTTGTTGGGAGTGTTTTCTCGAATGTGAGTAAAGGTTGGGCATGTTTGCTAGTCTACCTTGCCACGAAGCACAGAGGTTGACACACCAGGGACTTTCCAATTATCCAGCAGTGGTACTGTTCCTTTACCCTTGTGGGTAATAATATGGTAGCTAGACCTTCAAAATTTATGTGTCTAAACTTTGTTAGTGTTGTTTCTTTGCTATTCTTTTACCCTTCTTGGTCAGAGCGATGTAGTGGGAGCTGCAAGCTTCACGTGTCTCAACTTTGGTCAGAGAACTTTGGCAAAGTTATCTGTGGTACCCATGAGCTACTGTTGCGTGTGGGAAGTGGGTGATTGAACAGTAACGATTCATGTGCTTTCTACTTCGCCAGAAATCTTCGACAGAATGCCCATAATTTCCGCAAAGCTGAGTGTGCGTGTGACAGGTGCTGACAAGGCTGGAAAAGTAGGTGCCTCTTCGATTTCTGAGATCGGCCCTCGTGGTCTCTGAGCAGCCCAGCTTTTGAGAAAGCAAGCCTCTTCGATTTCTGAGATCGGCCTTCGTGGTCTTTGAGCAGCCCAAGCTTTTGAGAAAGCAAACGCCTCTTCGATTTCTGAGATCGACCCTCGTGGTCTCTGAGCAGCCCAGCTTTTGAGAAAGCAAACGCCTCTTCGATTTCTGAGCAGGCGCCTCTTCGATTTCTGAAGCTTCGTCGAGTGCAGATTTTTATAGGGGCTGACATTAAGTTCCAAAGCACACTTGAATCTCCACCAGTAGAAGCTTCCATTCTTGCACTTCTAAGATCTTGATTTGTCCGACCTCTTCTCTCTCTTCAACACCTTTGAAAATGTCTGGCCCCTCCGACCGTCGTTTTGACTTGAACCTTGTTGAAGAGGCAGCCCCGCCTTCTCCAGACAACATATGGCGCCCATCCTTCGTCTCCCCTACTGGTCCTCTTACCGTTGGGGATTCCGTGATGAAGAATGATATGACCGCTGCGGTAGTGGCCAGGAACCTTCTCACTCCCAAAGATAACAGACTACTTTCCAAACGGTCTGATGAGTTGGCTGTTAAGGATTCTCTGGCTCTCAGTGTTCAGTGTGCAGGTTCTGTGTCTAATATGGCCCAACGCCTATTTGCTCGAACCCGCCAAGTTGAATCATTGGCGGCTGAAGTGATGAGTCTCAAACAGGAGATTAGAGGGCTCAAGCATGAGAATAAACAGTTGCACCGGCTCGCACATGACTATGCTACAAACATGAAGAGGAAGCTTGACCAGATGAAGGAATCTGATGGTCAGGTTTTACTTGATCATCAGAGATTTGTGGGTTTGTTCCAAAGGCATTTATTGCCTTCGTCTTCTGGGGCTGTACCGCGTAATGAAGCTCCAAATGATCAACCTCTGATGCCTCCTCCTTCTAGGGTTCTGTCCAGTACTGAGGCTCCGAATGATCCCCCTCCGGTGCCTTCTCTTTCTGGGGCTCTACCGA